GGTCTCGATGGATTCCTCACTTTACCTCGATCTAAGGCCGTGTCCTGAACGGTGATCGTGTGACGAAAATCTAAACAATACGTCACCAAAATTAATTCACAATATTCCATTCTGATGTATGTTCCAAGCAGAGAATATAATAAATATTTATCGATAATATTTGTAAGAAATCCGTTAATTGTACGACATGAATAGCATAATAAAGTAGGTATTCTTACCCGAAGGAGCACTGATGTTGCTCCCAGGTTCTTTCTTATTTAATTTTAATCGCGACTTCTTAAATTTGCCACGTCTCTTGTTTGGCGTAGGTGTATTTTGCTGTTGAATGATCATCACGGTGAGCTCCCTCTCTAAAATAGCTATTTCGCGCGCAGCTAATTCCTGTTCTCGCTGTCTCAAATTTTCCTCGTGCTGTCTCTGTTGCACCTGTGCTTTCGTTAGTTCCTCTTCCCTACAGCGCAGCTCCTTATGAGCAAAAAAAATGTGTCAGAATTTAATTTATTTAAAACAACATAATTTTATTTTACGCTCTTTATCATAACTAGAGATAGATAAAGAAAACGAGAGAGAGAGAGAGAGAAAGAGAGAGAGAGAGAGAGAGAGAGAGAGAGAGAGAATGTATTTTTATTTAATAAAAAATAAAAAAAATAAACATATAATTCTTTCTATAACAATGATATCTTAATCCAACTCTGTTGTCTTACCTCTTCTAAAGAACGGCATGCCTTTGCAAAGCATTTAAAATAACGATTGGAAATATTATTCATTATGCATATTTATATATTAACAGTAATGTACACACATATATGTATATATACATATATATATATATAATGTAAAGATAATAATTTACACAATTATGGCTGTTAATATATGAAAAAATATATATCATGATTTAATATATACGAATGTATAAATAATTAGCGTGTCCTATTAAATATATATGTATATACCTTTTCCTTCATGCGCAATCCATGCAGAACTTGTTCGATCTCCAGCCTCCAATCTTCCTGCATCGTGTGAAAAGATTCGTGTGGCGTTGCCGCGAATGCACTGCGCACTTCATCCAAAGCGTTCAAAATATCCGTGAATCCTGGTCGAGCATGACTATCCGATGCCCAGCACGCTGTGATTAATGATCATTTTTAGTATATTTTTACTATATTCCTCCAAGATGCATTAATATTTCAAAAATAACAGCTTATTTAAATATTACGAATTTTTTACCTTCCATAAGAAGACTCCACGGTTGAGGACAGGTAGATGGGATTGGTAGAGTCAACTTATTGACGGCAACACCATACGCTACAGCCAGAGCATCGATACCCTTATACGGTGTTTCCCCAGTCAAAAGTTCCCACAGTAACACGCCATAGCTATTAATCAATATTTCAATACTTTAATGGAAAGTAAGCACAATTAAAAAACAATCAGAAACTTTTCTTTAATAATCAGAAGATTTTCTTTAACTCTTTATTACTTGCGTGAGATATTTCGGCTTTATATAAAATCGTTAAATGTATAATTATTTTTTTTTATATATATTATATTTAATATAAGTTGTTTCACAAATAAAATTTTTTACATTTATCTTTATCTAAAGGATGTATAGAATATTATTAATCTTTATTAAATTGTAAATCGTCAAAGAGAGAAAAATAATAATTAAAATGTAATATAGGAGTTAGAAGAGGTCATAAACATCCCACGCAAGTAAAGTTTAAAAAGAGTACCTAATATAGGGTACGTTTTCACGCTCACATACTGTAAGCATAATTTCATTTTTGTTGTCTATTAAATACAAAGAATAAATAATTGCTGCAAGTGCAAAGGAACGCACATATAGTTAAATACTAATTCTAATTTTTTAATAATAAATCTGATAGTTTTAGAACTGACCTCCATACATCACTGGCTTTGCTGAAAGTACTCTTTTTAATAACTTCTGGCGCCATCCAAGCATACGTGCCCGCCGCAGACATACGAGTCGTTTTGTAAACTTCCCTTGCCAAACCGAAGTCCGTGATCTTTAGAGTTTTGTATTGAAAGTCGTCATTTTCAATCGGTTCACTCAGTAACACTGTCGATATAAAAAAATTATTTATAATAAAAGTAATACAATTTGTTTATTTTATTGTTAAATACAATTATTGTCATTAATGTTAAGGTATCTTACCGTTAGAACTTTTTAGATCCCTGTGAATAAGACTTATTGGAGCTTTGTTGTGAAGATAATCCATCCCTCTCGCAATCTGTATCGCCCAATCGACTAATACATCAGGCCTTATTTTCCTACCACTGAGAACTCTGTTAAGACTGCCACCACGGGCATATTCCATCACAAGACACATATTGGGCATCTTTAAACACACTCCTTCCAATTGCACAATATTTTCGTGTTTTAACAACCAGAATAATTTTGCTTCCTGCTGTACATTTTCTAATGTTGCACTAGGTTCCTCGCCTGCATCTTGCCGTGCAGCCTTCACAGCAACTTCGCGTTTTTTCCAAAAGCCCCTAGAAAGAATAAACAAATTTATTAAAGAAGACTTTCGATGGAATATATATATATATCTTGAACTTATTTTTAGTGCTTTAAAATCAATATATCGGAATCTTTTTTATAAAACATTTTTAAAACAATAATAGCTTTATGCATTTTATAAATTACACTTTGCACATGTACCTGTATACTTTTCCAAATCCTCCAACACCTATAACTTCTTCCAATTGTAACTCCTCAAAGTCGATCTCGATTGGTTGGACTTTATCGATCACCGACGAAACTCGATCGATACTTTCTGCCTCCGCGACGAAATTTGCTGGAAAAATTCCCACTTTTCCACGAATTTTTCCAGTCCACCATCCATCATCACCTGAGATTTTTGTGTCTTTCGACAAAACCTGTTGCAGGAAATAATAATAATAATTTGGTATTCTCTTATGAAAATAATGTATTAGACCATTATAATAATTACGTGATATATGAGAATAATAGAAAATTCAACTAAACGCACTAGTGTGCACTTGTACATGTTAAAGCCGTTGTACACTGATTTAATCTCTATAAATATGAAATGCAAATATTTTAAATTATAAAATACAAATTTACTTAATAGTATGATAAAATGAATCAACAATTTAATGGTTTAATTTACTTTTATATTTATATTAAATACATATTTTTACATCAATTTGTGTATGATGGCTTTAATATGCACACTGAGTGCATCTAATCAAATTCGATATTATAAGTTACCTCAACAGTTTCTCCTCTCTGCAGGGATAATTCGTCTTCACCCTGAGCGACATAATCAAAGAGGGCTGTGAAAATAGTGATGCTGTTGTCCTGCCGTGACTGAGAAGAGGAATGTGTACCATGGGATGGACTAGTTTGTTGAGAGATAGTTCTAGCAGTTCCACCGCTATGTGTGTCAGAAACGCTGCTATCAGACATATTGTTGCTAGATGTACGTCCATATATGGACCCGTAACTGTAAGAAATTATCATAAATGCACAAGACGATATCACAAAGACATAATACCTGTAGTCATCAAACTCTATCCTTTTTACCTAGTATGACTATTGGTTCTGCTGTTGTACTGATACCGTGGCGATGAATTGGCCGTGTTGGGACTATGCGGATGTGAGGAGCCATTCTCTGAGTAGAGTAGGAAACGCTCGCTCCGATGACGAGCATCTGGTTGTCCGTGGTCCATCAAGGTAGACAAGCCTCTCGCCGATAGCCCGGCTGGCGGCATATGGCTCAACACTCTTCTTACTCCTCTCTTCTGTAGTGTATATCACACCCCTGTCTTCTCTCGGCGCGCACGACGATATTTTGCTGTTTTGTTTCACGCAATGTAGGAAATAAGACGCTAGGGTAGTATTCACCGTTTTCTCTTACTATTCTGTCTAATGTTTACCTTGTTGTTACCCGATAGTGGGGATAACTTGGGATCATATGTTATGTATATTATCGTCGTTATTCCGTGGTTGGACGCATCCTCGACAACGACACACAGTCCCGTACCTCCGGAACACCGTCGGCCGTGTTTATATCGGCTTCGCCGATGTTCGGGGTCGGTCGTGAGCACTACGACTGCGAAATCGGACAATGCGCGACCACGTCGGTGCTATCGTGCCGCTTTCCATCGGAAATCGGGGAACGTGTGAGCGTTCTCACGACGACGGCCACCGGGGCAAGAATAATACAAATCTCCCAGGGGCTTTTGTGTTCCTACCACCCCATGTACAAAAACAATCTCATCACGGTAGGGACCGGCATTCTGAAGGCGCGTGTCCGTGTGTGCGGCGGCAGCGGCGGCGGCGGCGCACAGGGCCCCGCTCGCCCTACCTAGGGAACACTCGCCGCGGGGTCGCGGCCCGCGGGAACGGTGAATTCGGCCGGGACGATGAAAATCGCGTCGCGCTTGTGGCGGAACTCGGTCCCCAGACTGGTCCCGCGCGTCAGGGTGTGTATACCCACAAGCGCCCACTCTGTGTTGACGGGGGCCCTGTATCTTCTCTCGCGCTGCTCGATTAAACCGCGTCTACGAGCGGCCCCCGAAACCCGGATGGCGGCGGGATTCAAGCAGACGCCCTCGCCGGCCCCGAGGACACGACGCTCCGCGTCAGACCGGAGACCGCGTGACGATGCCGCATTTAACAATAGAAAACGGAGCAGCACTCACAGCAATAACCTCGCGGACGCCATGTTTCGTACGACGGCCCCGCCATCGACGACCGACGTTCCCGTAGACGGCCGCCACGACGATTGAATCTCTGCGCCTCGGACGGCACCGCCATCTAGTCGAAGTCACGTGATCCGGTTCACTTTGGCGGGAAATTTGAAAGAGTTCAAACGCGAATTTCGATATTACAGGTGCATATAAAGTGGAATTGATACAAATAACGTATTTTAATGTCAATTTTTCATATCAATATACTTCGAACTAATTTCAAACAATATACTTTATTAACAATTATTTATTCCTGCTATGGCAATCTAACTTTAGATATTTACAGAGATATTTTGATACATTGTGATATCTAGATTAAGCAATCGATTAGATTACGTAATCGAGTAAATTAAGTAACTTCGGGATCAGCCTCGCTTCTGCATATTACAGAAATACGTCTGCCTTTTGGTACGTGTCGTCCTTCAAAATACGATTCCTCAGACTTGAGGATTTCGTGATTGTACTTGTACCTCGCAATGCCACTAAAAATGATATTTATAAAATCTTTCGGTAATATATAATTAAGAAAAGCTGTAATAAAAGTTGCGAATAAATCAAACCTCATGATGTATAACGATCTCCTTGGCAGTAGAAAACACGCGACACATTCCTTTTCGTGTCCTTCCATCGCCAATCTCATTACGCTGTCACTTAGCAAACTCAATCCTGCAATAATTCCTCCGCAAAACTGGAAAATTTTGTAACAGATTCGTAAGAATTTATGAATAAATCATCTTAAAGAGTTATATAAAATCTTGTTGAAATTGATTTTAATTAGAATTACCTCTCAACTCTATTGGCAATTAATTTAACTAGTAGAAATTGTTTCACTTTTGCTGTTCCAATCTTTTCTTTAAACAACAAAAAACTTATTTCTATTCAAATTAACAAAAACAGATAAATTAAAGAACAAAGTAATAGTAGTTCTTAAAGATAAAAATAACATGTCATTACCCTGACACTATCAATATGTGGCTTTATCCATCCTTCAGGAGCTAAGTCTAATATATGCACGAGCGAGAGCTGTATCATTTCTGGTAAGAATGCTTTTCTACGGACTCTGTCGAGAATCTGAGAGCTATCTTCGCTCCATTTGCTCCATTCGGTTTCTCTGTAGCCATGTATCGCCTGCAAAGATCCAAAATATTGATAATTCAACAAATAAAATATAAATAGAGAAATGTAATGATACTTGACATTTTACCAACATTGTCCCAATGGGAAAATTCATAGCGTAGTCGTTTCATATAAGGGTCAACCTCTTGTACAAGAATGTCTTCTTCTTTTTCATTGATAAAATTTGGCAAGACTTTCATAGTATCATACAGCTCTATTCTCCAATCCTTAATTGCGTCATTTTTTGGTATTGTTTTCTCCGAATTGACATTATGTTTGGAAGTTGAGCAATAAAATGCTCTGTTTATATTACGGAATAGGAAACGCATATTTATCGCCATTTCCTAAATCGAGGAATCTTTTAATTAAATGATTAAAAGGTCACGTAAACTTAACATTATTAGAGATGTTCGTTTTGAAAGTTTCTTCTCATTTTTCGTAAAATCAACCGACATCCTATCAAGTCATATATATTTTTCATATTTCACAAATAGAAGAAATCTGATTTCTTTTACAATTAAATATGTACAGTAAAAACATAAAATTTAGTAAAAGTATTATACAGTTTAACACTTTTTTTTGACTAAAATTAAGGAAACAAAAACAGAACAAATTGTCCTAGTAGTAAAGTTATTTTATTTTGAATTCACTTCATTATAAAATTATTTATATATTAAATACAATTTAAAATAGTAAGGTTTTTATTAATTACGCTATAGTAAACCAGAATATTAATAATATCACATTTCTAATTTACAAAAACATTTGGCGTTCTTTGATATTTTGAGGTTATGTCGTCTGTTGAATTAGCATTAGTGCATATACGCTCTAATAAGACCAATTGTCTTTAATTCTCGTATTTTAGAGGTAAAATTAATACGTATAGACTCACCAATAAGTGCATATAATTACTGATTTCATGCTTTTACCGTAACATGAGGAGAGTAAAAAGAAATGACCCAAATATGGTTACTTTATCAATCTATATATATAGCCATATGTTTACAGACAAACCTAAGAAGGAATTATATGTAGACATTCTCTTTTACTTTAATAATAAGATTCGGTTCCATCAACGTAAATTAACTTTAATCGTGGTTTAATATTCTTTCTGATGTTAAAAATTAGAATCTTTTTAATTTTAAGAATCTTTTCTAAAATTCTTACAAAGAATTTTATTAAATCTAAAAATTAAAATGAATTTTTTTCTAATTCTTAGGATAAATAGTTAAATCGAGAGTAAAGTTAGATTGTTAAATATTAAAGTTAAATCGAGAAATAAACCAAAATTGGACAATATGAAAGGAAATGATATGAAAGGAATTGTCAGATATAAAAGTAGGGTTGATCTAACATAAATAATTCAACAATCCGACAAGCTGCAAGCCTGCAAAACATTAAAAAAATACAATGAGAATCAAATGAATGATATTTATTAAATCAATATCAATTTCTACGCAGCAGTAAATACCTGAGAGATCTCAGGAATTGTTCACGTAACTGACTTAGTCTAGAAAATAGTTTCCTGATATCGAGATATTTAATGCTGCGTTCTTACATGTTTTATGAACATTATCTTTGCGATACCCTACCCCCCGAGACACATATCGCCCATTCCTGCGTGCACTGCAACGCATACGCGTTAATTTCTCTAGGCTGAGCAATCTAGACAATTTTTTATCAACAGCCGAAAGATATCATCTACAAATGGAGAAACGCAATTGAAACAGAAAATACAAAAGATACTTTTCTCTGCATTAAAATATACAATTGTATAAATTATGAGCAAAAATCATAGAGGCGGATAATTTATAATCAACCTTTATTTAGGAATATACTCTTTTCAAAACCAACTTTTAATCATCTTCAATAAAAGTACGTGTGTGTATGCATTATGAATATATATAAGCTGTGTTATAGAAAACTTCCACAATATAATTACACGAGTTTAGTCTGCAATGACGCAGCTATATAAAGATGGGAAAGTTTCTTCCTTTTAACAGATTAAGATACGGTTACAACTTAAAGACGTAAATATAGTTCTATCCTTCATTGCCCGATGTTAATGTATGCACAATCAATAAATTAGAATCGCGCGTACATTGCGCGACACCCTCAATGTTTTTAAGCTAAAATCGTTACTGACATCAACGTCAAAATTGAAAATCTGATAACGACGGATGCGCGGATAAAAATCCAATAAAACTCAACAGTAAGTCATAGAATCTCCAACTGTTCTGAGTAACTGCGTGTGAATGTGACACCACTACACAGTTATCGGAAAGTGTTAAGCATTTCCGCCGGTAATATTGTAATGCTAGCTTTCGCTTCTACTTTTTTTTTTTGTTTCTCGTCTTGTTAAGTGTGATATCATGGATATAGATTAAACCGTTGTACATTTTGGTTACAATTCAATATGCAGAAAATTACAAATATAAAGTTTCTGTATAAATTCTGCAAATTAATATTCCTCAGCGTGTATTTAGGCGACTAGAATGTACGAATATGTGAAAAGTCGCTACATAAAATCGTCATATTCGTCATATACATAATCACCATATTCGCTCAACAAGGTATTGTCACCCTCGATTTTGAGCTTGGCCTTTCCTTTGCCCTTGTTCTTTTTCGCCTTATCACCCTTTTCCATCTTCTGCTTTTCAATAAGTAAGTTGTCAACTATAGTTTTCACTTTTTTCAAGTAATTTGACGATACTAGAACAAAGAGACATTTTTTAATGTAAAGCTCCTAGTTGTGAAAATGACATAATTAAAACGTTAACAAATATACTAACAATTAAGAGCAATAGACTTTATAAGTTCTTCTGCAAACAGTGGAAACTCTGCATGTTTATTAAATTGATTAATTTTTTGTGACAGTGCTGCACCATATCGCTCAAATTCCTCTTTTGTATCTGGTATCACCATAGTATCGAGCGATTCGTTTTGTGACACATTTTCTGTCACACCTATAACATAAAACTATCATGTAATAACGTACACACACATCACATAATATTTACAATATATTTTTTTAATTAAATATTATAGGTAATATAATAATATTTTTACTTATATTTTAATTATTTTTCATAATATCAAGTTAATTTAATATATATTAAATTTATTAAGCATATTTTGTGAAAATTTACTGATAAATAGATACAAACATGTAATAATAAACTTTATAAAATTGTAGAAAGAGATGCACCTTTGAAGAAATGTATACTATTTTGTAGATTATACTTTTAAGAGAGATATAAAAGTTTATATATCTGACATATGACTCACATTAGAATTAACAGTTTTGCATGTTACAATATATGCATCAAAAGAATCAATCAGGAACGGTACAGGAGACAGATAACAGATGAGATAAGGTTACAAAAACTGATGCAAACACAACAAATTGCATAGAATAGCAACTTTTATTAAAATACAACAACATCAGTAATAAATTTAAATGTAGAGCTTGTAATAAGTTTAAATGCTTGTATATATATATATATATATATTCTCTTTCTGTCTGTCTGCCCCTGTTTGATGCAGTTTCTATAATAAACCGAGTATATATATAGGTATAGCGTGGCTATAATAATTACAATTATGTAAAGCTATTATGCCACATTCTTAAATTAATATTAATCAACATATCAAAAGAGAGACATATGTACATAATGTTCTATGCGTATGTGTATACGTTTGTTGCATTTAGTATTTTTAAAGATATTTCCTTGTATATAATACTGTACGATTTAATGTAATATATATAACAATTTACTTTGCGTAGTCACAATTTTTATATAAATAGTTAGTGTTTAATATTATTTTTTCAATTCGTCAAACATCACACTTATATAAAAATAATAGCTATTATATCATCATTGTTACAAAGCAAAACTGCTTATACGTCCCATGCATAATTAGAAAGTGTAATCTTTCAGCTAAGTAACATTACAATGTGCACTTACAATATATAAAGTAATAAAAAAATGACATATATTATTTAAAAAACTTTTATGTTGAATAGTGCATCTAATGTCTAATATAACTCTGATAAAAAACACTATTTCAGATGTCAGATAAAATTACTATGTTAGAAATAAGAAGCTATCAATTCACAATATGAAACAGTCAGATCATTCGTTAAAAAAGTCATTTCTTCTCTTTTTTATCTTTTTTGCGATCACTAAAATCTACTAGAGTCGACAAACCGAAAGTTTCCATCGCCAGCCGTAAGTCAGCCTCTTCTTGCAACCTTTGACGCCTCAAGACTTCAACCCGCCTTTCTTCCGGTGTAAGTGCCTCTTCCTTTTCTTTCGCTTTCCTTTCAGCTTCTTCCTTTGCTTTTTTCTAAATTTTCATATAAATGTATTACATAAACATGAGTAAAATTACATAAATAAAAACTTATATAAGAAAAAAAAAGTATTGCAGCTTAAACAGAAACAAACCTCGCGTTCCTCGATTCTTTCAGCCAGGGCTTTTTTAGGTTTTGGTTTTGCCTTTGGGACCTCTGCTGGTTTTTCTACATCCTTTTTCTCTTCTTCTACATCTTCCCAGCTGTCCTGTTAGGTTATTTAATATTGCATAAATAAATGAAACAGGATTTCATTATCAATAAATCTGTTTTTTTAATACTATTTACGTGCAAGAAATTCAACTAAAAAAACAGACCTATTTCATATATACAAAATGGTATTATACATATTATCATGTAATAAAATTTAGCTATTTAATATTTGTTTAAATCAATATATAAATATATTAATGTAATATAATTTTAATATAATGTGTTTAACATCAGATAAAGATCTGATAAAAATATATAACTTGTATATAAAAACCTGTTATTCATGAATTATTTAATACAAAACCTATATACAAAAACCAATTATTCAAATATTATTTAATATTTAATTATTCGTGTATGAATATAATTTTTGCAAAATATTTGACAACAGTAAATGTTGAATTACATTCTGAGAAGGATTATGAAGCAAAGGAATCCTCAAATACACTTATTCATTCCTATATAAGTTTACGAGATACATGTTTCTATTAGATATATTAAGTAAGTAAACAGTAAGTATGAATAAATCCATAAATGATACCTTCTTGATTCTTATACTTAACCTTTTATACAATTATAATATTATTTGCTCCTCTTTTGTGAATGTATAGCAAAGTAATACATAACATTTTGATCTCAAAAACATCAACAAGGACATGAGAAAGAAATTGGAATATATCATCTAGATAACACATGATATTCCAAGAATATTTTGATTATTGCTCTCAAGCAAGAAATGAACGGAAGTAGAAACAACTTGAGTATATACATTTCCGGAATATTCTCAAAATGTCCTCAGAATATCTCATGTGCTATCATCGTGTCGCAACACGACGAGGCGCACAGTATGGAGAACATGTGTTCGTTATAGGTTAGGTTCGCGAAATAGCACGCGGACTCGCATGGGAGTGTCCTCACGTCGCACGCACGATGTGGAAATCGCATTACCTTGACGTCCTCCTCCTCGTCCTCGCCCTCCCACTTGTTCGATCTCATCGCGAGGTCGAATTTCGCCTCGACGTTGTCCACATCTGCAAAGAGGCACAGCAAAGGGGTGGAGGTTAAAAAGTCAGTCTCACCCTCGCGAGAAATCGCCCCCGTTCACAAGGAGCGCTTCGCAGGGAAACGCGATCAACGTCACCGCACGCTTACATACCCCATTCCTCGTCCATGGCTGACAGTGATTATTCGCCGTGTGTAGTACTTGCGGGTGAACGGAGAGTCTGCCGCACAAACGTGGTGACAACGAGAACAACCGGAATCGAGCGTGCCATACTGCACGAAGGAAGCAGCGTGCCAGCGTTGGATCCGATCGCTCGCGCGAGCGGGACCTGCTGCGCATGCGTGGCGACCGATCGAGAGAAGATCCACAGACACGATCTCTCCGGCCTATTTCGAACGTTCCGCGGAAAACAATAATCGACGGCGACCCGCGTTAGCGCGAGGTTAGATTTTTTCATCCCCCGCAACGCCATTTTTTTTTCTCTCTCGTCAAAGACGACAATGCCTCTCCTCTTAAAAAAATATCTCGTCGCTCCAAAATACACGTAGCAAGTTATATATATGTATTCGATATAAAACTGTCGGCTGGACAGCGCGATGTAATTTCATTCTATCATGGAAATAATGGATGATGTTTCTCCGTAATATCTTGCGCGTTATCCTTTTCGATCAAATAATAAATTTATTTATTTACATACACGCACGGTAGAGCGCATTTAAAAATTCTGCGAGCGTCGAGATCCGCGAGTAATCGCGAGTAATATATTACTCGTTACGTTTCGATTGGTTTCGATTGTGTTCCGAAACGCATCCATTTTGAATGTGTAAAAGCATATATGTCGGCCAGTGTACATATGTATGTACATCTCCGCAATATAAAAAATTAAGATCACAGATTATTGCATAAATGTCACAAAAAAGCAGGCAAGATTCATGGACACAAATAATGCGGTACTCTTGTAGAAGTAAAATACACAATATTGCTTGTTGTAAAAATTCAGCAGTGCGATATTGAGTTAAACATTTCGAAAAGTTGGAGATTTTTTTAAAAAGCCATGCTTATCAATGCACTTTAATATAAACATAATAATATTCGAACTTAAGATTTGAAACACGAGCAAGGTCAATAGAAAAGTATGTTATGTTATTTTTAAATTATTTTAAATATTATGTTTAAATATTAAAGTAAAATTTTATATTTTATACTCGTCATGGAAACTTTCCATTTTTCTCTGGAAAAGCTGGAAGAGTCAGGGAGAATTTTAAAATTCATTTTCTGTGGTAACCTTGACAATATTTACTTATTAACTTGAACTTTTTTAAAAGGAGCACGTAAGAGTCAATTATTCTATATATTATTAGTCGTAACATAAAAGAGATATCAAGATGAATAATATCAGGAGAAATGATAAATAAATTTGCCCACACGTCGAAAAAAAATTTTTTCTTTACATCCGTGCATAATTTGTAGACTATACGTTTACTTTCGACGATACGATTTTATCGGCGTGTCACAATAAAAGTGAATGTGGTATGTTGTTCCCGCAATTCGAAAATAGAAGCTGGTGTCACTAGTGTATGTGGAGGGTTTATAAAGGAGGAAAAAAACCGGGATGGCCGCTCTCAGGGCGAGACCATAGAGATAATAATATTACTATCTCTATTGGCGATGCAAAGATATCCTAGTGGCGGCCGGTAGAAGCTTCGCTAGTCAGACACCTTATACGTGCTATAATGGAAAATAATAAAGTAAAATCAAAAAGAAATACTACATAATGTTTTGTGGCACAATGCCATAATTATAAACAGAAGGGGATCAGTTTTCATCACTTAGAAAAAAAAATTATTTTTTAGAGGGCTCTTTGCCCTTTTTATATTTGTATTGTTTTATACATATAGAGCCTTTTCATTATTTATTCTATTTCTTTTAGTTTTTATTACATTTAGATTAATTTAATGTACATATAAATGAGATAGAGTAGCTAGAAAAAGATGGAAAGATGGAGAGTAAAGAGCAAGAGAGAAAAAGAAGTTTAGTGGCGCGACTAGTAATTTGCTTATTTCGCGCATGTGCACTTCATTTTGTGTGACACTAACATCAAAGGTCCTGACAGAAGAGTTGCGCTACTGGATATACTGTGCCTGTGATGACGGACGCGTTTCGGTTCAGGTGTATATTTTCCGTTGTATATTTTTGAAAGTGTTGCCGACTTTGACTGTGCATTGCATCACACATCAGATGCGTGTCCGCGGATGAGCTCGTCTCGATTGTCATCATTTTGCACTTTTCTACGACTAGGGCTCTTATGACGCGCGTTATTGCGACGTGACGACGCCGTAGACGCAGGCGCCCGGAGACCAGTCGAGCAACGCCATTTTTGCGGGCGTTGCATCACCCGCTCGTTTTCACATTTTTGTACGGTTTACTCTAAAGACGTGATCGTCCTCCTATTTCATTACTTGGAGGCGGTAGCCATTATTTAAGGAAGAAGAAGAAGAGCTTTGCTTTTGTGTGCTACCGGTTGCGCCAGGCCGCGGACCGATGGCGCTACCATCGAGTGCTGCAAGCGGGTTGGAAATCGCATCACTGACTCCGACTAACCTTAATCACAGCGCACTTACGCATAGTACGGATGGGTTCCTAAATATTCCCATCGGTTCGTCAGCTTTGGACGCTCTCTCGACGAAACGGAGAAGGTAGGGCGTCAAGTAATTGACAGCTAGAACTGGTTGAAAATGTCACTTGCATTTTATAGATATTATATGATCAATAATATTGTTGATATAAATACTGACAATGATTGCGTTCAACAATAATAGGCTTTTTATAATAAGTTATTATCTAAGTTTAATGTCTTAAGCTATGTAGGCCTCCCTACATGATCAGTAATACTGAGTCAGTATGCATTAGTTTTTACAATCTTATACGATCAGGTATTATTGATAATATTTCACTTTAGTTTGACGTGATTTGACGTATATTATTTTCTATGGCGACATGGATCTTAAGGAAAAAGCATGTATTTAAATCCAAATCATCGTCAGTATTCTATGTCAATTCATTAATATTAACCACACACAATCAATAATATTGTCAATATTCGTTGATACTGACAGTATTACTGACCGTGTACAGAGGCCTTATTGATCAATCACAGTCAAATGTGAGAAGAATAATCGATTATAATTAATCAATTTCTTATGACTTAAGATATAATGATTAAATAGTGGTTTATTGTAAAAAAATCCATGAAAGAGTAACTTTGCAACTGTTGTAAGATTTTTGAATATGGCTATATATTTAGATCCAGCAAGGAACTAAGTGCAAGAACTGATTATATATTAATACTTGATTGATTACTTGCAAAATTACTTTTTCTACTAATCATAGTCAATATGATTGATGTGTGATTAATGTTGATAGATATATATTTATGGTGATCCATATTTCTGGATTCTCTCTTGAGCATCAGTAATTGTTTTCCATTTATATCAAACACAATTCTTATTTTTTACATCATGATTCAGTTGAATGCATGTTCCTTTTTAGTCAGACAAAGATTCAACTACAGATGTGTGAATCAAGGTTTTCTGATTTCGAATCGAATTGAATTAAAATGTTTTTTTTTTTTTTTTAATACAAATTGAATCATAACTTTTAACTTATTGACAGCATAATTATATTATCAGTTGAATTCTAATATGTAGATAAAATTATTTTTATATAAAAAAATTAATTATGATATAGTTATTTTAAAATATATGTACCCATACATATAAATATTAAATATAAAACTATAGTTACAAGTCTATGGCTAATACAAGTCTAGTGCGCATTATACGTGCGACTAACTTGGTCAACACAAAAACCATTGGCTGGAAGAAAAAAATTTAATCATATATCAAATTTATATTGACTATCAAATAAATTTACCACTCTTATATTTGCGTTTAATGTTTACAGCATACACAAAAATGTCGTTTTGAATATTACAACGCTGTAAGCATTAACGATTTAATTCGAAATTTTCGAATAGTTTGTACTCGAATCATAGCTTGCTATGCTTTGAATATGAATCGAATAGTTTGCATATCTCTAGATTTAACTGGGCTTTTGCATATAATCTAAATAAGCTTAAGACTTTACTGAATCTTACTAACTCATATTAAAAGTGAAATTATCTATGTTGTTATGCTATAACTTAATAATCAAAATAAGTAATGATATTATTATCTTGAGTATAAAATATATATAACTTTAGGCTCAATAATATTTCTGCAAAAATGGAAAGTATCTCTGATCATAGTGATGCTTGAGGAAATCTATATCACTATTACTATTCGACATCAATATATCAATATTAATTACACAAAATTGATAATATTATCAGTATTTATGTAATACACAATTAGTATTGTGTATTATATACATACATAAATATATATATATATATATGTTTTTTTTATAAACATTATAAACATGGAAATGGCATTGTAAGAGTCAAACGAAAAGTAAATTAACAAACAATTAATACATATATTCTAAAA